TGAAAAGCTTTTCAGCCTGTAATTAATCTGCAACTTTTAACAGATAAGAAAAATCTGCAGTCTTTATTACAAATTAGATTTTGGTGGAGTAGGAATAATAGCCCAAACATATTAGATAGTAATTCAAACTGCAAAGAAATCATACACTAATCTTCTGTTCTTACATTTCTTATACCACAGGACAAATAATCATTTCTGTATCAAGTGCATAATTTTCTAGGAGACTGCACTGTTTTGAGAGAAACTTAATACAAACTGACAAAACGACAAAGATGCTTCTAGCTATTCCTGCTTTTTGGAAGAGATGCGTTGGGTTTTTTTGGGGTTTTTTTTGTTTCATGTTGTGGATTTTTACAGCTGCTAAAGGTCTGAGATAGCTTAATTTCACATTTGCCAAATGACATTCTAGGGAAATGGAAAGAATGTTACCTATGCATTACAGTTTCAGGTTAAGCTCACTTCTGATCAGGTTTTTTGCCTTTCCTTGGTGTTCAGTTACGAGCTTTTCCTTAAATGTAAATATCCAATCTTCACCATACCAGTGTTTTTGGTTTGTGAATCCAAATCCAAGGAAGGCAATTACCTATTTTAAAAGAGTTTACAATACAACCCAAGAATCTTCAGAAAGTTAAAAATATTTTTAAATTGTCTTAGTGTCAAAGTTATGACTATATCTTACTTTTATAGAATACTTGTACCTTTCAGAATCAAGGAATTTGGCAAACAATATTCATTTGCATTTTATACAGAAAATTAACTGTAGGTCCGTCTTCTAATCAAAATCCTTAGGCTTTCTTCAGCTGTGAATGCTGAAGGTATGAACAATATTCAGAATTTACTTAAAATTTGAAACTTTTGTGAAAAATTTCTTTCAGTGTAGAAATGCTTCCTAATATCCAGTCTAAACATGCCTGGTGCAACTTGAGGCACGATTTCCTCTTGTCCTGTCACTTGTTACCTGAGAGAAGAGGCTGACCCCCACCTGGCTACAGCCTCCCTTCAGGCAGGCTTTGCTAAAGCTGAGGAAGTTAACACCCACACATTTTCCATTACCCACTAAGCACATCACTTTAACACAGAGTGAGATTAGATTGGTCAAGCAGCACCTGCTTCTCATACTCCCATGCTGGCTGGGCCTCATCTCCTGGTTGCCCTGCACCTGATGTGTTGATGTGTGATGGCAGTCAGGATGATCTGCTCCATGACCTTCCCTGGCATCAAGGTCAAACTGTGAGACCTGTAGTTCCCCAGATCCTATGAGCCTATTCTGATTCTTCTTCTTAAAAGAAGAAAAAAAGGAGAAAAGAAAATCACTCTGCCAGAAATTAATAAGGCCTAGGTTGCAACTTCAGGAAAAAAACCTCAAGCAAACAAGAGAAGATGTCAGAGGAACAATGAGGTAGCTATTTAATTTTCCTTTTGCTTTCCCTTTATATGATTAACATCAAGAGTGTGCTTAAGCCACACTGATTGGCAGTGCAGCCCATTCCTAGGTGTGCTTCTTATGAACAGATACAGGATGTCAGGGCGTGGGCTGGAAGAACTGCCCTGCCCCCACCCACGCAGCTGAAAATTGGACAACTTGCTCTAATACAAAGTATGATGCAGAAGTGGAAGTTGTTCCTGTGTATGTTGTAACTGCGTTTTGTACCCTTTCTGTACTCCCAAAGAAAATATTTGTTAAATACAAAACGTTTGTAAGTTTTGGCATGATTTATTGCTCCTAGTGCAAGGGCAATTTATCAGCATATCTCCACTGCCTTCAGAGCAGATTACTGTATGGATCGGGGAGCAGCAGCTCATATACTTGAACATTCAGCAACTGAAATTACCACAAAATTATATACATATATATATACATATATATATATATATATATATATATATATATATAAGATTGGTTTTAAAATAACATTGGCAATAGTAATTACTACCACCAGGACAACAAGGCATAGTTTTAAAATAGAAAGTGATAAGATACTGCCTAAAAATCAGACCAGGGTTTACAGGTCAGTCTGTGAAGATATGGGTGTGTAAATTATATCCCCTTTGTTTTAATCTTGAGCACAGTGCGTATTAACTAGTTCTGTGTTTTCAGACCAGCAGAGCAATTCAACATATTGACACCTATACAATAATTGCAAAAAATACACCTCAAATACATGGATATTTTAATGTCTGCTGGTTTATCAACTGCTAAATGTATTTTAATGCATACCAGATTACTTTAAAAGGAACCCTGTCTACCTCATTAAACTCAAACACCATTTTCCACTGAAGATAACAGATTTATTTATATTATCTATATGGAACAAAATATAAAACCCCACCAAATTTAAATAAATAGGAGGGGGAAAAAATTTGAATATCAGTTAAAATGTTGACACAAAATAGATTCATACTTTTTATATCTATAATTTCTACAGAATGGACCATTTTGAGAAATCAAAATGCATTATAAAAACCTTTAACTGCATTGTCTTTCGAGAATTAAATGTTTGTGCCATATTCACAAGCAAATGTTTCAACATATTTCTCTGAGATGACATTTTGTCATCTCAGAGAAATATGTCATCGTCATTCATTAATGATTACAGTGGAATAAAAAATATAACATATCACATTTTATAGGGTGAGGAAACACTGCCTCCAGCAGATATATGCTCCTTGATTCTAAGTGTGGAATGCTGGTAGATTTTTAATTATCATCAGAAAATAAGATGCAAACTGAAAAGGGACACCAAAGCAAAGGGAACTACATTTATGAAAAAATAAGGTTGGCTTTAATTTATTAAAAAATAGTGTTATTAAATATTGGGTGTTTGGACTTTTTGTATCAGAGAACATTGCCTGATGAAGTTTGATGACCAAATGTTTTCACATAACTGTTGAATATGCAGTAGTGTGGATGCAGGCTTGGAAGATGTGTTGCCAACACTCAGGGATGCTGAGAAAGATGATTTTGTGCCATGTATGTAAACATGTAACGTTTCTAGAAGCTTCAAATGCTCAGTATCTGCGCAGAGCAGTAGCAAAGCTTCCTGCCATAAATCTGATGAGTCTTGGCCAGATCAGCTATACTGTGTGCATACCAAAAGCAGAGTTCATATCCTACATGCCAACAACAGATGAATTTCCTGCCAATGAGACTGCTGTCTGTGGAGGGCAGCTTCTTCCATTCCTCCTGGAAAATTCTCAACCGAAATACAGCAATCCTGTCACCAGGGAGCAACCCAAAACTGGTGTAGGCAGGAAGCATGAAATACATCAGCCTGAAGACTGTTTAATATAAACACTCAATTAGCACACAGAACTCTTGGGGAAAGAAGCACTTAGCAGCAGCCTGACTATTCTGGTGGATACTTTTATAAACAAGTCTACAAGTGGTTCTTGAAACTGACAACAAATTTAAAAATTCATTGTTAAGTATGTAATTCAGGATTCTATTTTAAAAATAAGTGTATTTACTTATTCAACATCGTATTTGATCTAACTTAACTGGACAATAAAATAAATTGAATGTAAATATTAACAACTGAATGATACTTTTTTTTCCATAATCTAGCATTATCATTGTCCTGTATCTTTCACCACCTGACTCTTCTTAAAGCAATCTAAGCAATGTGTAACTGCTTTGTGTTGAGCACTGACTGAAAATGTACAGTGTATTAATTTTTTTTAAGTACTGAACATGAGAACTATTTCTAGTTTTATTCCAGCATTTGACTTTTAGATTCAAGTGACATGTCAGCAACTGTAGATTGTGTATTTTCTATCTGCTATTGGCAGTTCAAGTCCTTGTACTTCATTCTATCATAGAAAACAAAGAAAAAAAAGGAAAAAGCAAGAGAGCAAAAGAGCAAAAAAAGGAAAAAATGAAAAAAATAACCTACCTTCTAGAAAATCATCACTGTTCAAAAAAAAAAAAAAAAAAAGTGGTTAAGAGAGAAATCACTGTTGTGTTTCATACCTTTCCCTACATGGCAATACCCCCTTTGGTCAGCTGGGGTCAGCTGTCCTGGCAGTTTCTCCTCCCAACCTCCCAGGCACCCCCAACCTCCATGCCAGTGTGGCAGCATGAAGGCCTTGGCTCTGTGTGAGCCCTGCTCAGCAGTAATAGAAACTTCCACTATCAACCCAGGGCTCAGCACAAATCCAAAACGCAGCCCTGTACCAGCCACTGTGAAGACAATTAACTCTACCCCAGCCAAAACCAGCACACACATTTTCTAATGAGCAAGGGTGTTGACAACTAAGCACTGTCAGTTTAGTTTATAACTTTTTTTCTTTCATCCACAAAGTGGGATCCTCAACTATAGTTTCTCAAATGACAAATGACTGGGTTGATGGCACGATACTAAAAGACACAAATGTGGGGATAACCTCTCTTTTGGGGAAAATAAATAAATCCAGACTTGAAAACATCGATCCAAATTGCTACTAATTAAAAGCTACATAGAAGAAAACAAATTTTATGACAAAGCTATACACAAAAGATAGAGCAATTAATGTTACAAGTTACAAAGCAGCTTTATGAATGGGCCAACAATTATTTTTCCAAGATCTTTACATCGAAACCACTTTTGGACCTTTGGCAAATTTTACTCCTTGTGGAGAATGAGAAATAATAGCCATCCAAGTATATTATATGTACTTTGTCTTCATGTGCCAAACCTATCCAGGAGCACACAAAACATGTTCCTCGAACTTGCAGCTCCTGCGATACCAAATGCATCAAATACATCATTTTAATGCTCCCAAGTGAGTGCAATTTTAGTAGTCACAATTGCAGGAAGTATTAGATTCATGGTCAGATGGTGCTACAGCCTATTATTCTGAATTCAAGATGTCACACACCTAATAGAATTTAAGTTCAGAAATACAGACCATTTATTTTCATGGTACCAGATCCCTTTCACTCTCAGCATAAAATACATATTTTCAGGATGAATATATCATTACTGGACTAATGAGATAAATAAAGGCAATAACACAAGTAATACAGAGCAAAAAGACATTATTTATTAAAAGTAATTTAATAAAATGTCTGCAGCTAACTTAAATATATGCAGGGGTTATGTATTTTGCTGTATTTTCTGAAGAAGAAATTCTACTTGTAAATTTAGATTTGGCTGTCCTTTCTTTGTCTTCTTACTCAGTATTTTATAAGCTTCCATTTTCTTTTTCTTGTACAAACGTTGAGCTTCTTCTCTTTGTTCTTTTCTTTTTTCTGCTTCCTGAAATTAAATAAATATGTAAGATTATGAAACAACTACAAACCCTCTGTGACTGTGAAGCTATTTACAAGCAATATAATTCATTTTTGTATAGATACTGGCAATTAGGTATTGTACTGCCAACAGAAACACCACTTCTCTAAAGCTGAATCAGGATGTTCTTTCAGCACATACTGCAATCAGAACAAATTATACAGCCTCAAGCTTTAAGATAAGAGCCAAGCTTTCTTCAGCAGAACATCCTACAATAAGGTTGCTGCTGCAATGTATACTGCTTCCTTTCTGTGAAATGTGCTCCTTCACTACTCTCCTTAAATGAAAAACCCCACTTTCTCCTCTTGAGTGCAAGAAAGAAAAAGGTGATTCAGCAGCTCCTATGTGAATATCTTGCCAATCCAGATGTGTTTGGATATTAGACACTTCCGCACAGGACAGGCTGATAGGATATGGGACCTATCTAGACAATGCGTTGGGCAGATTTGTGATACTAGGACAACATTATGTAGGGGAAATTAATCCAGACCAGACTACTAGTGACCTGTTCTCTTTAAAGCAACACAGACTCTTATCTTTACTTTTAAGAGAGATGGAACAAAACTACGAACTCTAATCAAAATTCTATGCGTAAAACTTTCCATGAAGCACACATGCAACCAAACTACTAATGGAGCGTTAACGATACATGGAAGGACCATCAACATTATACAGATAATCACCACAGTGTTATCTGTTACCCCCTTCTCCAGTGTTGTAATTTTACTCAGTAATTTGGGCTAACATCCACAAGCTAGAACACTAGCTTACTTCACTTATATCATGTCCTACCAAAATATGCAAGACATCACAAATCAGACTGAAAGACTGTTCCAGTTCACTTGGATAATTTCTTCTCATAAAGCTTATTCTTTGAAATGCAGTGCCCTGCTGATCACATAGGCAAGCATTTCTGCAGAATGCCTGAACAGATGATAATTTATGGATCATATTTTTGTTTTCCACAGCACAGATGGCTTCAGTGATGTACAAAAACTAGTAAGAATTGCTCTCCGATATAAAATTTACAGGACATAACTCAAAAAAAGATTTCTAAACAGAAATCTAAAAATCTCAGGAAAAAAACCCAAACAATCAAATAAACACACATATGCAAAAATATGCACAGATAAAGAGATAACCTCTCTCCATTCAGAATCTTTGACTTATTTTACCAAAATGACTAACAAAATTTATTCCCCTTAAAAAACAACAGAGCAGCATCAGCTCTAATTTATATGTAATTTACTTCATATCTAATAATTTTTCTGCTGTTCAGCATATTCTTGTAAACAACATACAGTCAAGCTACCAGCCAAATGCTTACTTCAAAGCAAGAACATTCATCTTACAGAGTTGCTACTTACCTTTGCATTTTTTCTGATCTTTACTAAATACTGGCCTTTTTTTTAGGCCAAAAAAGGCCTTTGAGGAGGCAAAAATTGTGTCTTTACGCTTATTTCTCTTCCCAAAATAAATAATAGTAAATCCAGTGTTTGCTAATACCTATGACAATGTAGAATGAAGTACATACTTTACTTTTTCATCATGCTGCACTCAAGTACTCCACCTAAATGATTATGTTATTGGGGCACTTAGCTTCTGTTTTGCCTAATTATCTTTAACAAAACTAAAATGCTAACATCTGTACTCAGGCAACTCCTATGTGCTGCTCAAAGAGAACTCCCTGCAGTCTTGCTAGGGTTCTGCTTGTTCCCATCTTCTCTAAATAAGCCGGTCATAACGTTAATTTCTTTTGACACAATCTCTAGCTAATATGCAAAAAAGCAGCCACAAGCAGAATAACCACTTAAACTCACCCAGAATCACAGATTAGCTCACTAAAACTAAATACAGCTGAAGAAACAGTATCTTTTATACAGCTATATATTCGACACTTATATAGTAGCTACTGAAATTTAGTATGTCACCAGAAGTTGCACAACTTCTACAATGTTACACCGTGTGCCATTTTACAGTGCAACAAACAATGTCCTGGGAGAAAAAAAAACCAGTTAATTAAGGACTTCTCAAATTAATAGTACAAGTGAGCTAATCTACAGTGATGATATTACAATATGTCCTGTAAAAATAATTCAAATTAAATTAAAATGAAGGGAATGACTAAAAATTTTGATTGTGGAAGCTATTAAATTTCATTGTTTCACTGTTGGCCAAAGTACATAAAAAGGTAAAATGAAGACTGCATTATGATAATGCCTTAAGAAACAGGATGTGTTTAATTTTTCATCAAGATGATGGTATTGTTATTACTTCCCCTTTTACAAAATTTAACAGGTCTAATATAATCCACTGGGGTATGCAGATCAAGCTCTAAGCTTTTCTTCATGTACCAACTGACATAATTAAATCCTGCTATGGGCAACTGCAAGATAAAATTAGTAAGAACAAAGAGAATCATCTTTTGAATGCCTGTGTGCCTGAATACCACTGTCAAGCTGAAAAAAACTGAAAGAGTTCCAGTATCTCCTATGGTCTTCCCTGTCTTCAGATGGAAGACTGAGCAGTAGAAATGCTATTAATCTAGATTTTGTTTAAAATCAAGAAAGTTCTCTGTGTAAGATTTACCTCTTTCTTTCTAGCATGCTCAGCCTTTATTTTCTCATACTCTTCTTTTGCCTTCTGATTGGATGTTTTATTTTTAACCTTCTCTTGAGTCCCAACTGACCTGGAGGAAAAAGTACACGTTCTTGAGACACTGAGTATCATCAAACAGACATAACCATAGATCCCACAGCCACTGCAGAATCACAGCAGTCTTCCACTGCTTTTGCCAGTGAAGTTAACTACAAATACCGGTTTCAGAACACTCATCCTTCTACACTGACTAGATTGTTTGAAGCACTCTTACAGGATACCCAACACCATGCCAGGCCATGCATGAGCAGTCAGCAAGAAAACATAACAAACTAAACTTCTTCAATGCCAAACGTACCCAAGACAAAGTGCACACGACTGTTAGTAATGCACACACCTCATCCGCTGTAGCTTCACATGGATGATGTCTCCTGAAGCTTAAAGACTGCCTACAAGAGTTTTCCCCATGATTCAAGCCACTCAGAGCTAGAAAACCTGGACATACTAGCTTAGAGCTGCATTCTCTCTTTCTAGCTCCAACACATGGAAGCAACTGCAGAGTTAACAATCATTTAGAAATACCACTCTCATGGAAAAACAACAAAAATGTTTTCCTTTATTCTTATCTCCATCTGGTGGCCATACTGTGCAATGATATCTCATTGTCTCAAGTACAAAACCCTTACGCTGCCGTTTATTTTTCTAACAAGCAAGAAAGAATATTTAAGACATAACAAAATTTCTAGTAAAGCGAATCACCAAAGTCCACGTGAACTGTTAAGATCTAAAATATTTCTTTAGCGAGGGAAAGATCTACATTTTTAAAAATACACTTTGAAAACTTACTCTGCTGCTTTATTAAGCTTTTCTTCTGATGACACTGAATCATTTGGAGTCCTGCGCCTCTTCTTAAGCTTTTCTTCCTCTGCAAGGTAAAGATGTTTCAAGTGCTCTGGATAGGTATCTGTAAACTGATCATCCTGTTGTGAATGCACTTGTCTTCTCTTTTTCAGTAATTTCCTGTACTGTTGTTCAATCTTTTGTTTCCTCCGAAATGCAAATCCTCGTCCTGAAAGCACAAGTAAAAGGGAGTTAAATACACCTGCACTAAAATAGTACCAAACCATCCAACTGTTGTCAGGCCCCTCTCCATCTGTTTTCTCCCAAACTCAAAAAAGCCACTACATGTGGCAATTTCAATAAGGACCAGCCATAAGTTCAAGGAAAGAACCACTATGATAAGGTTGTTCCCTACTGCAACATTGGAGCTTGCACAGATTTACTGAAAATTACTGCCTAAGCCCCCGAGAGAGCATTGCAAATACTGCTACTTAATGCCCACTCACCACTCTGCACCTTTGCCAGTGTTTTTTGAATCCAGTCAGAAGATGTATTAACATTTCACTTCACTCCTACTATTGACAGCTTGTAAAGCAGTATGAAAATAGATTTGAAAATAAGCTCCTAAAGGCAATCTCAAGAGAACACGGGTAATGATGCTGGCAACAGCAGCAGGAGTGTGCAGCAGCTGTGACACACAGAGAAAAGTCACTAAATCGTCCTATCACTCTGTACTAATATTCCACTATGTCTTTTCACTTAAAGAGTATTTATTGCTACAACTTTCCTTCTACACATGTCCAGAAGTGTTTTTCTACAGCAACATCATATAATTATTTCTGCTTAAAAGAAAGTTCAGACACTGGCTGTTTCAGTCTCAAACATTAAAGAAAACTTACCAAAGTTGAAATTAAACAAGCTTTTTTCCTAATGGCTTATTTTTTATTGCATTAGTCTAAAGATCCACTGACTTTCATAATATTCATTAACAAAGCAGTTTCTAAAGGGAAGTCAAATTAATTCCAACTTTTCCTTTTTTCTCCAAAGCAGCCACTTCAGCAACGCTCTCTTTCCTACTCATTTTTACATCTGTATAACTACCTACCAATAATCCGAACCTTTTCTCAAACACGCTTCCTTTTTAAATGTACGTTTTACTATCCAGAAAACCCAAGGCGAGCCCTAAACCCGAAAACCATCGCCACACTGCGCAGGGCCTGCCATCCGAGCCCCGGGAGCTCCAGCTCACACAGGCCGCCCCAGCCAGCTCTGCACCCCCATCCCGAGTGCAGGGCCGCCAACACCGGGGGCGAGGCGGGGCTGCGGGCTCGGCCAGCCCAAACCCCCGGGCTTCCTTCGGCGGCCCCGACTCACCCTCCTGGACGCTGCCGACAACGCTGCGCAGCAGGACGGGCCTCCAGCGCCGCTTTCGGCCGGGCCCGCGAGCCGCCGTGGCCGCCGCCTGCCCGGGCCCGCCGCGCCTCGCCGCCGCCATCGCGCTTCCGGCGCTGCGCGCCCAGTGACGTCACGGAGCCGCGCGGCGGGGGCCGACGGGCCGCGCGCGGGGCCATGTCGCGGCCGTCGCGCGCGCTCCCGGCCCAGCCGGCCCCGGCGGCGGCGGCGCGGGCGCTGCGGCGCGCGGCGCGGTTCGTGCGGCGCGCGCTGCCGCTGTGCCGCGCGCACACCGTGGAGTTCTTCACGCGCGGGCTCTGGCAGCGCCTCGTGGCGCCGCGCCCCGACGCCGTGCTCGAGGCGCTGCGCGCGGCCGGGCCGCTGGCGCACCCCCTGGCGGCGGGATCGGGCGCCGCGGCGGCGCCGGGCGGTGAGTGGGCGCGGGGCGCGCGGCCGTAACGGGAACGGGAACGGGAACGGGACGCGCCCGGACCGCCCCGCTTCTGAGGGAGCGAGCGCGGCCGGCACGGGAATTCCGCTGCGGGGCTCGCGGTGAGGCGCTCGTGACGCCGGTCTCATGTCGTCAGTTTCATCCTGTTCGTTTGGAAACGAAACTCCAAACTGTCAAATTCCTTCACTCTGCCTGACCCCTGAAGAACACAATTAAAATGAAAAAAAAAAAACAAATCAAACAAAACATACCCGAAACCTCCACGAGTGGAAAGATGTAACAGTTAAAAGTCCTCCGAGTGTTGAAACTGGAGATGCGGATGACAGCTGGAAAAGGCTTAAACGCCGCTTTCCTGTGTGTCTGTAATAGTGGGTCTGGCACAGGAAAGCAGCTGCTTTATTTCTGACGAGATCTGTTTAAGAAACACTTCATATTTTCAGTAATTTTCACGTAACTGAAGAGGAAGGCAGCTAGGCTGCTGTGCTGCTGAATGTGCTGCAGTCCGAGTAGGAGGGAAACGTACCAGTAATGCTCCTTCAGGCAGGGCACAGAAATGAAGATAAAGCATCTGAAAGCAGTGGTATCTGGGGGGACTGAGCCAAGCAGAGAGATCATTTTCAAATCCAAGGTGAAATCTCTGACAAAGCCCTTAGCTGAGAAAAGCCGGTGTCGTGCCAAAGCATATGGAATGTAGATAGCTGTCACAGTGCGTTAGCTCTGAAATCCTACGTTATATGGCACTTGAGGCAGGAAAGTGTGTGTAGTGTAAGAGAAGGCTCCACAGAAAGTACCATGTACTTTTTGGCATAGAAGACAAGCTAAGATAATGATTTGGACTCAGAAATAGATTGAAGAACTGTGAATTTCTACATCACTAGCAACATTTCTCAGTTGGATCTGAAGACTTTTCAAAATATTAACTGCAAGACTCATTTTTAAAGGGTTGAGTTATTTGGGAAAAATCCCACAGAGTTTATTGGTGCATGGAAAAGACACTGGATGATGAGTTATCTTCAAGAGCCAGATGGAAACAAGACGGTGATCTGGTCAGCAAGCAAAAGTGTTGGGAGGCAAGGCCAGGCTTAATGTTCTTGACAGATAATGTCAGACTCAGAACTGATTCAGAGGAACAGGACATAAAATTGAATGTAAATAGAGGCTGGAACAAAACTAATTATCAGATGCAATCATCATAAAGAAAACAGTAAAGGAAAATTACTCTGATCTAACCTGTTTCTATGGGAAAGTCCATGGAATGATTCAAACACCAAAGTGGTGGCCTGTAGACTAGCATGAGAATCAGGAAAGCAGAGTATTGTTTTGTAGATTTCAAAATTGGATAATAATTTAATAATCTGCATTCAAAATGCATGTTGCAGAATCTGATACAGAAATTACTGGAACAAAAAAAACAATTTATGTCTAAAATTAAGCATGTCTTTTTTGAAGAGTATGAAGTTTTCATGCTGTGGCTAAAATACAACATTTCTTCTTTCGTTTCTGCAAGAATTTTTTCTGCTCATTAAAATAAAAAAAAGGAAGAATTGCCCCTTTTTTTCTGACTTTAGAGTATGCTATGTAACAGAATGCACTGTAGTGGAGTGGGCATATCCTTGCTGATTTGTTGGTTCATCCCTTACTCATTTGACTTGCATGGTATCTGTTCATCCAGTCATATGATGAAAATACTTTGTAGTAGAATATGAGTTTGTCAGTGAAGATACCTGCAAGCATCTTACATTTGCAAATTAATGCACTGCTAGCCTGTATTAAAATTAGGAGAGAGAGAGAGAAATGTAGTGCCATAGCTCATTCGAGTACATTAGTGCAACTCAATAATGTTAGGGATCAGAAACCAAACATTAGAGCTCTTGAAACCCATCATAAACAGAAATTACTCTTCTTTGATCAAAGTAATTTCGTTATAATGACCATGTGAAGGATGGAACCCTTGTTTTCACTTGTACCCTGCAGAAAAATGTAAGATCCCTTTTTAGAGTCAGAAACTGATTTGAATACATCAAAAAGCTGACACTTGCCACATTGTATTTTGTTTATCATGTCATTGCTGTAAATTTGACACAGGCACAGAAAAATCTGTGTTTAAGTATTTTAATATTTTACTGTAAATTACTGTTTGTACTGTGATTCCAGCTTTGGGGCACGTATTTCTTTCCTTTGAAGATTTGTTTGCAAATGTATAGACTGACTGGTTTAAAGACAAGCTAGATTTCCTCTTGTGGGCATCCAGAATAGAAATGTGTCTAAAAACCTAGAATTTTTAATATTTATAAATTAAGTTAAGGAGTGTTATAGAACATGAGATTGATGCATTGGATTTCAGTTAAGTGAGATTTGTAAGAGCAGTAATTATTTTTTATGTCAGCTGCTGAAAAAGTGAAAGCACATCTATTTTCTTACCTTTCTCTGATAAATCTTACAAAAGATACATTGAAAAGCTAAGTTGCCCCTTCTCCCTAAAAGCTGTGGTCTTTATTTCTCATCTCTAATATCCTATTACAATCTTATCCTTCATGAAGACTACACTAACTACAATTTTTTCAGACAAGGAAGTTGTTTATGGAGAAATGTGGCTTTCTTTTTAGATGTTGTAGCAGAGGGGAGTAAGAAGTGCTGTGCAGACAACGAAACCATGTTAATTCTGGTCATAGCTTAGAGAATATTTATGCTTTCTTAGATACAAAATTTGTTTGCTGCACTTGTGCCTTTGTAGTGTCATATCATGAAAATTAACATGGTTTGGGACTGTTTTCAGTGGATTGTAATATATGCATGGCCTTTAATTGTGGTCATGCAAGGAAATTAAGAGCATTAAAACTGAGGTCAATCTAAACAGCTGTATACATGGTCGTGCCAGGTTCAGGAAAGCTACTGTGCTAGGTATGTACTTCCTCAAAATCTATCTATGACACAAAAGACAAGCCAGGAGAATTTCCAAGTTTTTGTAACAATTTGATTGCTGGACTGGGTGCCTTTTATATATTGAAAAGAATTACAAATATATAAAATTATTAGCAAAATTATGCAGAATTCACAAATGGTTTTATGTAAAATAGACAGGAATTTGACAATTCAGAACAATCTCAGAATTAATAAATTATTCATACTAATATGTTTCACTAATAAATGTACATTTTTGAAACTCAGTACTAAGCAATACCAAAATGAAGTATTTCCTCATGAATCTAATAAGATACACAGTAGTTATACTGAAGTAGGTCTGCTAAAACGACAGATTTTGTCACATTTACATTGGTTCAACTAAGTAAAATTTGACCTCAGCTCTGGAGAGGGAATACAGCTGAAGAAAAATAATGAGTTTCCACACTTAGGGAAGCAAGATAATGCCCAGTTGTGTGTGATACTAAGTATTTATTGCCTGTAGTTCTCTGTCAGAAGTTAAGCACTGCTCACATAAATCTTTTCCTTTTCTTTTATGTGCAGATGATGACATCTTTTCCAGTGCATTTTGTGAAAACTCTGAGAAGCTTGTCAATGTACATTTGTTTGCCCTGGCTGCTAAGTATTATTCTCTGTCCAACCTTGGAGTGTGTACCCCATTAGAAGATGTGCTTGAAGCACTGAAAGGAGACAGTGAAGGAGCAATAGGTATATTTACATTTGTATTTTAATGTTTACTTATTCACTATAGGAGTGAGTTTTGGTTTTGGAGGGTAGTTTGTTGTTTGAAGGTTTTTTCCTACATGATCCTCAATTGCATTTTCATTTGTTCTTGGATAGTTTCTTTATTGTCTTTGTTTATGAAATGGTAAACAAAAAACTTGCTAAAATTTGAGGATTTGGTATCTATAGACCCATCAGGGTATTCAGTTTTAAAGGGGATGGGACAGAGAAGCTGGCACATCGCTATGTGAGATACCTTCTAATTCTCTTTCTTTGTGTTGTCCCCAAGTGGCAGGAATCATTCTTGCTACTCATGTTTTTCTTAGAATTATAACCCTAAAATATGGCAAATATATGATGTCTTAGAAAAAAAATATTTTATTAATTCTGTATTTTTTGGACTAATACCAATTATATGTGATAAAACAAGAGTAATTTCATTTTCTGTAGTTAAAGAAATTGAATTAAAACACTTTTAAATTGGCATCAAGTTGGACTCTTACCCCAGTTATAATTTGTAAATCAGATTATATTTATCCTTTCTCGGACTACTGTCGTTTTCACTGTAAATGTGCTATTCATAGTTTGCTATATTTTGAAATGTCTCATTAGTTTTTAAGAGACAGACTGGGCAGCTCTCTATCTTGCCTCCTAGTGCCTTTTATCTCTGGGATGCATTAAAACTCCTGACATTTCTTATCCTAAGTGATAGCACCGTTATACAAATGTTGCGCATCTCTCCCATTTTCTACAGTGATCTCTTTCCAATTTTGCCATTTTTCATGGGTGGCTTCTCAGGTTTTTTTAGAAGTACTAGAATGCCATTGCTGAGATACTCCTAATGATTTGTAGAGCATTCATCTTACTTTCTGGTTTCTTTCCTTATGCCCTTAGTACATTGGAAAACCTTTTTTCTTCTTTGACAACTGTATGCTGCTTTTCTTTCCCACTAGCTTTTTAGCTATTTTCATTTTTACTATATCTCATTCCCCATGTTCCTCTTAATTTTCTGTAATTCTCTAATTCTACCTTCTTGTATTTGAGTTCATACTTGGATTAACTTTCTTAATCAAAACTTTGAGGATTCTTTCATCTTCTTGTCATGCAGGATGGAGCATCCGGAATAAGGCAATTGCTGAACACTTTGTTTTCTGTGTGGCAGGAGTGATGCTTGGTTGGGTAACTGGGGCCTGGGTTTGTATTTTTGCAGTACTTCTGAGTTGTACTTCTTCGGAAAAATATAATATGTTCCAAATGTGTACAACAGAATTATAATTCAGAACCTTTGTACTGAATTTGCAGTAAATATCAGTTAAATTAACTTAAGTTCCTGGTAATCATTTGGCAGAGGCAAAATACCAACTTAGGTATTCATAGTGTGCAAGTTGCCAAATGAAAGTTGTGATCTTGGAGCTATTTTAAATATTTTGAACTAATTTCTATATTTTAGAAGATATGTTTGTTCCCTGACATGCTAAAGCTTGCAAGTGGAAAGAAACACAAGTCTGAGAAAACTGGCAACTTTGTGATGGCGTTGTTTATATTTTGAAAAATATGCATCAGGATAGTTCCATTTATGTTTCAGATGTTTTTAATATGTTTTCTTCTTCTAAGACAAACAGACTTTTGAGTCTATTCCCACAGTTTGCATACTGTGAACTTACATAGTTCTCTAGCTTCTTTGCAATCTTAATGTAGATACACTGCTATCCTTCCTGGGAATAACTGGGAAGCATGAACATTTTAAACTAATGAATCCATCTTTAAATTCCATGTACTGGAATATCTCCTCAGAAGGGTTTTTTTGAGTATATGGTTTGTCCAGTTCCTCACTCTGGATCATGGAGTTAAATCACTGTAGTAAACTTCTGTACAGATGGTGTTGTGTGGTATGGACTATGGATTTATACTTCTTTATCTGATGTATCTGAATTTCCATATGTCTCTGGGGTATAAAATCCCTGCACCCCGCCATAGTAGGTCTTAAAAAAATCTGTGTTAGCCATATATAAAATCAGACTCTCTTTAATTTGCTCAGCTTCACAACTAGAGATGTATCTGTAAACAGCACTACAGAGTTAAAGCAGTTCTTCAAATAGAATACAGGTACTCATGCTAGGGATTCCTAGTGGAAATGAGCAGCATTTCATTACCAACTAAAACTGGTAACATGAAGCTTTCTGTTACTCCATCATATCCAAGCTACTTCTGTAAAGTATTTGAAACACACTATCATTTTTTTTTCATCACAAAGGGAGATGGTTCTCTACATTTCTGATGTTTCTTGAAATTAGTACTTTTTCTGCCTGCATCAGTTGTACACATAATAAGGAAATGTGCATGTATAATTATTTGTTTCAAGAAAGTAATTTTGTGATAGCAGAAAGAATTTACACAGTTTGAGTCAAGCTAGTATTTTTTTTTAATTCAAATTTTCAGTTGTCCAGGACAGTCCCCAGATACATTTGTTTGCATTAGTTTGTAATATCTGCTTGTTTTTCAGAATAATGTAAAAACCTATCAGAATTTTGCATAAAAAGCAGGAAAAATAAAATTTATTTCAAAAACTGTAATTTTCTCCAAAAAGTATAGTTTTCTCTTAGCTGAAATACAAATAGTGTGCTATCCTGCAGAAAGCAGGGAAAGAAGTCAAAAAGTGCTTAAGAAGCTTTCATAGCTAAGGCGATAAATAAACTATATATATAGTTAAAAACAAATTATGCCTTTTCTATATGGAACCTCAGCTTTTGTAAGTTAGGTAATTGTTTAGGATTTCTACCATGCTTGAAATACTTAATTTGGATTAAGTACTCTCTGTGACATAGTACTTCACCTAGCATTACCCCATTCAGTCTTTTGAGTTCATAATAGAGAAAAGAGTAAAGGTGCAGTATGTGGTCACTGTCTTAAGTGACAGTGCTGCTTTGGAGAAAAAACAACTTTTATTTCTGACAAGAAGTTAAATGTCTGTTTCTTCTCGTTCCAATTCTGTTTCTTTTTCTGATGAGCCTTCCCAGACACAAAAATGTTCAAACATAAACAAAAAGAGAGACCTTCTTTATTTTTAATTTTTTTTTCCTGTCTGTTTTTCTTTAACCTGGTATGCTTCCAAATTGAGAGCTTTTTAGGATGCTGTATAGATCTTGACAATGTTAAAGTTAAGGAGATTCTTCAATGAGACGACAAACACTTGTTTCTGCTATTTGTATTGTTTGAGTCTTTTAATCTATTTTTCCTTTTGTCAGTTCATAAAGTCTATATTAGATTTTAAGTATTGTCATAACAGTTTATTATAAAAACCCCAGATGTTTAAGAAATAGACAAATCCCTTGGGGGTTGGGAAAAATAGAGAAAACACTGGGTTTCTTATGAGTTCAGTTCAATTCCCCACTCTCTTTTAAAGAAGTAACACACTTGGCTCTGCTCCCAGCATGATCTGATCAAGAAATGAACATGGTTTTTGCCTAATGATCAGTTTCTGGATAGATGAATGCATACTGTGCATAAATCAGAAAATGGGAAATGATATTAATATGCCTAGTCATGTAGAAAAGTCCTGTTTTCTAGAGGCATGCTCATCAGTAATGATCCAGTTTCTTCTACCATCACATAGACTTACCATCAAGTGTACTGCAGCGCTGGACCCCTAAGAGAAACCCTGTGGGTTTTTCCCAGGGGAGTGCCTTCTGAGCTCCTGCTTTGGCTGGGTGGCACAGAGGTTAGCAAGTGAGTGCTTGGTGTTCTCCACAAGCAGTTATCCCATGGTGGAGGTTGACTCCATCTCATTAACGCATTCTCCAGCAACACTGAAATGAGTGATTTTCTGCCATAAAGGTAACAGTTCTATAACCAATCCATAGGGTAAATAAAGAAAAGTTCATCTTGATCTGAATTTTTCCAGGATCACTCATAACTTTTAGTACAGATATCTCCCTCTTGATAGTGTCAGCAAATCTGCAGCATTAACAAGCTATACAATGTGATTATTTATTGTCCCTGCCCTTATATTTCATTTATGGAAAGGTAAATGTGATAAATGAGACAGAAATAAATATTTTTCAATGAAAAGGAAGAAATAGTACAGTTTTATAGTTGTAACCATTGTCTAATATCTGGTCAGGTATTTAATATGCTACATCTTAAAAAACCTGAATTTTACAGGGTGTTGAATGTTGCTAATTTATCCATACTTGGGAAGTTTATTCTTGTAATAATTATTGAGTTTTTGATTAAAAATTACTATCCTGAAAATATATATACAGTGAAGTATATATTAGGGTTTTTTTTTCCTTATTTTTACAGATTGTGTAAATGTGTATTTATTTTCCTAATCTGATCCAGGTATCAAACCAGATGAGTTTATGAATAATAAGAAATCACATGAAGTGCAGGTGATGTCGGAGCTGGTAGACGGCATAGCAAATTATTGTGGGATAAAGCAGGTAAGAAAGCATTCCTTACTTTGTGTTACCAGATACCTTCCAAATTATTCTCTTTGTTGTGTGCAAATACACCACTTTGATATTCTGTCACTGCTGTTCTTATTTTTCCTGTACATAATTGGAGCTAAAGAGCTGTTGGGACCAAATGGAAGGACAATTTTGTTTACAAATTTATTGTTCCAAAGGAACTGCCTTTCAGTGACTCATAATCACTCATGAGTAATTTTAAAAAGTTATGATCATCTTCTATGTGCTGAGCAGCTAAAAACTGTTCTGCTTTTTGGACCAGTCCTGCATTGTTTGTCAGTATTATATTGCTGGCAGTTTTGCACATGTGTCAGTAGGAGAGCTGCCTTGTGTCATGCACACAAGGGTATCACACAAGAGACCAAGGCAGAGTATCTTCAGAAATTTTGAAAGCTCCTCTTATTCTGATGCAAGATTTAAATTATTTCCTATTGTTTAATACTGTTCACCTTTATTTAATATGGATTGAGAGCTGTAAATTGGAAATCTAGTTAGGATGTTTTTGTTTGAAGAGAGACCAAATTAAGCAGAGATTTAGGTAAGAGTGTACATGAAATACATTTGGTGGAACATGTATGAGGCCTGGACACCCAACACCATTGTCACCAAGCAATTACTGCATGAATTCGCTGTTTCATACATCAGATGCAAGGTTTATCTTTGGGCAGTGAAGAATTGCAGGATTCCTTTCTCAAATTTGATTGTAACCTAAAACTTTTTTTTATAGAATCTGTTGACTAAACACAAGCACCCCAAAAATGCTTCACATTTTTGAGTAGTATGTTTTACATCTTTTTAGACAAAATGCACAATACCATTTCCTCAGTTTACATACATAAGCTTTTTTGTAAGCTTTTTCAGTGATAAACCTTATGTTAGATTCCATACCTTAGGCCCGGGTTGTGGTAAGGCTAAATTTTTCAGGTGAGCTGAGTTTGTTTATTCGTTTTAATCTCTCTAATGCGGGTAACTGGCCAGTGTAGCTTCATCCTTGCTTTAAACTGGAGGTGGCTCGGAGCTCTCAACAGACGTTTGATTCCTTTCTACATCTGAGCTGTGCTTGCTTTCCATGCAAGGGGCTGCAACTGTAAATGGAGACTTACATCCTCCAGGCTAATATTCATTCCCACAAAGATTTGGGGAGAACAAGCTATATTTGCTTAAAACCAAAGGTTAATAAGGTACCTGCCCAGATTTTATGGTGAGGGTATTTTCTCTGAGTATTCTTTTTTGTAAGTAAATATGTTTGAGTATAGTTTAAAATTAATGTAGCTGCAGCATCCCAAGTTGCTGTTGCTCCCACCACAGGGAAAGCCCCAAAACTTGGATTCAGCTCTGAATTGCTGAAGCTGAACTTTGCTTAGGAGGTTATTTGGCTCAGACTGAGTTTAATTTAAGTAAGTAAATTATGCCGTACTCTTGCTAGATTTGGGTCAGGCCTTTGTGGCATCCTTGGAAACAGAGATCAAAATTCTCAGTCCTGACCATCTGTTTTGTGAGGAGCAGCTGATGAAGACAAAGTTTTAGGCAGTGTTCTTACAACGGGGATTGTCAAGTAAATAGAGAGCTTTAATTAAGGCCAAACATTACTGGGTGAGACGCAATCAGTTTGTGAGCATCTGTCATCACTTACAGCGATGGAAGGCGGGCTCTCCAGCAGCCCTTTAAGAGCCAGCCACAGTGACAAGTGTGGGTGCCCTCCACAGCCCCAAAGGGTGTGCTCTGTAGAGAATAGAAATACACCAGCAGCACATTTGTGAATGTCTTGTATTCTGTCACGAGCATGTTTTTTTGCCTTGTTTACCTTTTGTTTCAGGCAAATATTAGTTGTTTAAGTGTTGAAGACTTTCACATACTAAAAAAGCTGTAGGAGGGTATAGTATGCTTACAGTGCAGTAGTAACTGGTTTCTGCATTTGCTGGAAAGTGGTGTTTCATTTAGCATTTTCATTGAGATTTAAATAGTTCCCGTGAGATTCAGGAATGAAAGGAAAGCAAAAGCCCTGTTTAGAAAATTTAAAAAGTAAAGCAATCTTAATAACTTAACTGAAGTTTTGAGGTAACTGGTTACTAATGAAATCACAAACCAATCCTTACTAAGTATCTGTTAATATGCTGCAATTTCATCCAGGGATTAATACTTTTATTAGGTAGCTTGGAGTATCTCTATACGTCGGATTATTTTCTGTTTACTTTTTAAAAAAATATAACATTAAATGAAAAATATTATTGCAGTGTATCACTAAATATGAAATGCTGACTGCTCTATAATAACCTTTTTCCATTTTACTCATACATTATAACAGTATTTATTTGTGCAAAGTTACAAATACCAAATGTATGAAAAGAGGTTTTCTGTTACTTTGGAAAATAAAAAAAAAAAAAAAATAAAAGCCTCCTTGTCAGTCTTTAAAAAGCAACTCCTTTTGGTTTTGTTTTCTTTCAACTTAAAAAAAAAAAGTAGGAATTCTAAATTTTTAGGAGTTTTTTCTTATTGATTTTTTCCATCCTTCTTGCAAAACAAATATATGTAGCATTTAATTAAAAATCTAGAGCCATGAAAACACAGCACATGTTTTACAAGAGCACATGTCCTGAGGGTGTTTCTTTCAGATATTACAGATCACTGACAGTTTGAAAAATGCCCTCCATTTCACCTCCATACCCATGTTGTAATAATGGGTGGTAGAGGATATTGCTCTCTGTTAGTATCTTATAATGTACAATAGTAAATAGTAAAATACAAATAAAAGCAAAAATTTTATTACCACTATAAACACTTCTAGGTTTATGATTTTAATTTAAACATTAAAGCAATATAATGAAATGGCTTTTTTTGTTTGCTGACCCTTTTAAGCACTGTTCCTATCATATAAGTGGAACTTTCTTTTTTAAAGAAGTACTTGATTAAACTCTGAAAAGAAGCAGTGCTGACTCCTCTTTGCTTAAGCACACATTTGTTCTATTTAATGTATTGGTCAAAGTTTTCCTTGGAAATTGCAGTATGTGCAGCAAGACTTGGAGTGTATAATGTAAAGATGATATAATTCTGCATTCAGCATCCATTACATTTGTGATTTGGTGCTGGGAAATGTTGGAATGCTTGATTGTGCCAGAAACTGTTTTTCAACATAGGACCCAACTCACTGTGGATAAGACCTTTGGAGTTTATTATATCATGGAAATTTCATTTTAAAGGTTCATGCTTGACAGATATACTATGGATTGCATATTACCTTTCCCTATGTAATCAATGGAAGGTAAAGTAGGGAATAATTTAATTCAGTTTATTTTGTTTAGTGCAAGATCATTGCTTGCTATTTTTAGTCAACTTTTCCTTTTGTTTCTAAATCCCAGTGCTGATTTAAATGCATTACTATTTTCAATTTACTTGAGAAACTTTCTGCAAGGTGCAGCTGGTCTCTACAGCCACTAGAGGTTACACTTAGGAATTAGTCACTACCCCTCTCTTGGGTCCAAAAGCTGCTTTTTACTGAAAAAATTCAGAACTTGAAGTGGAGGTGCGCATATCCTACATCAGTGATGTCTGTTAAATAAAGGAGTGGGTGAAATTATTCCTTCAACACTTCTATTTCATTTCAAATGACAGAAACACAGAGTGGATCATGTTCCAAGGGAGGACAGTGGGTCACCTGGTCCAACCTCCCTGCTCAAGCAGGGTCATCCTAGAGCACAGGCACAGCATGTTGTCCAGATTATTTCTTAATATCTCCATTAAGGGAGGCTCCACAACCTCTCTGGACAATCTGTTCCAGTGCTCAGTCACCTGCACAGTAAAGAAGTTCTTCCTCATATTCAGGTGGAATTTCCTGTGTATCTGTTTCCACCTGTTGCCTCTTGTCCTATTGCTTGGCACCACCGAGAAGAGCCTGAAAACATCCTCTTAACACTCTCCCTTCACTTACACTTTCAGTTATCTTCTTTCAAGGCTGAACAGGCCCAGCTCCCTCAGCCTTTCCTCCTAAGAGACGTGCTCCACTCCCCTCATAATCCTTGTTGCCCACTGCTTGATGTGCTCTAGGACCTCCATGTCTCTCCTGTGCTAAGGTGCCCAGCACCAGGCACGGCACTCTAGGTGTGGCCTCACTAGGGCTCATTAGAGCAGAATATTGGTGATAAATGTGACAAATAAATGACATTTCAAAAAGTATGCTTAAGTGAATAAATAAATAATGAATAAATCTTTCTTTCTCATTGAGTAAGAATATTGTTGTATTGAGTATTTTTACCTGATGAAAAGCTATGCAGTTGAGTTTAAGATGCATCAATGTAGTGTATGCTGAAATTTAAGTTTAGCAGTATCAGTATAAGCTTTCTTATGATCATATGACAGACCAACAAAACATAGATGTTCTTGAATCAAACACTTCCAGGAACTTCTACAAAGAAGTCATTATATCTAGTCAATATTATTTTTGGTAGATAACTGGACAGAAGTGAACATTATATTTTTCTTCCTTTAGAGAAGTGTCACTCTTCCAATTCTTATAAAATATTGTGTGATGTATTAAAACATACATTATATAAAGCTGTGATTATGTACTGAAAGGTCTCAGGTTACTCTTGTTTCTGCTAACACTTTATAAGGGTATTTCCTTCCTCAGTTACATCAGTCACTGAACTAGCACATGGTATCAGCTATGACACAAATTAAACTGGTACCTATTACTCCTGCCTCCAGAATGGGCAGTGGAAATTACATGTGGCTTATGAGCCCCTTTGTTTATTAGAAAAGCATCCTCATGTTAAACAAAGCCGTATGGATTGTTTTCACAGAATGAGAAAGCAGAACAAACAAGCATTCTGACATAGGAGTATCAATATCACCCATCTTTAGGTCAGATCTGAAGGGATTAAAGTAAGCACTGAAACTAAAGATGCTTTTTGCTGTACACCCACTGGTTGTAGGCTCCTCAGTGTGGGAATTAGATGCCTAAAGCTGAATACTGTAAACTGTTTATTTGCTAACGCTGACCCAGTTTAGCAAGGGCAGGTGGAATTGCTGATGGTTTATGTTGTGGGTTTTTTTTGGCAGAAGAGAAGTCTGTGTTAAAAAAATGTACTGAAAGTCTTACAAGAAGCAGGGCATGTGAATTGCAAGAACGTTGCAGTGTCTGTTCTCTGGAGCACATCAGTTAAGGCTTAATTCAGTGTTTTAAATTCAGAAGGTGTACCAACAAAGTAGAATAACTAAGTGCATTGAGGAGTATGATACTAATAAGGTAACTATTCAATCCATGCTTAAATTTTAAGGGAATAATTTTGCACTTGAAGTGTGCCTTGCTGCTCATTAATATAGCAATTTTCTTTTCCTTTATTTTTTCTCCATTATCTAGGTGATTGATATAGGTTCTGGGAAGGGCTACCTGAGTTCCTTTTTGTCCATGCAATATAACTTAAAGGTTTATGGCATTGACTGCTCAAGCTCCAACACAAATGGTGCTCATGAAAGAAATAGAAAATTGAAGAAACATTGGAGAGCATATCAGAGTCGAGGAAAAGAAAGCCTCAAAAGCCAGAGTTTGGAAATGGCAAATGACAGGCCAGTGGAAAATGAAATTAATTGTAGAACAATCAGTGAAGAGCTCTTACATAATGCCAACAGTCTTCAAAATCAGGACCAAGTGATTATCCAAGATTTAGTTCCTTCTTGTGGTTTCACAGAAATGGCTACACTAGAAACCAACACAGAAACTGAAGCTGATTTAGTGACTGAAACACAGTCTCATGAGACCAAACTTTCTGAAGAGGTTCTTGCTATTCTAAATGTTCTTCCTGTTGATGCTGTAGAAGATTTTTCTTCATCTCATTGTAACTGTGGGGAGCTCTGTGAAGAGGAAAAAGTACAAAGAAAAATGACATCTCTCAAGACTAAAGCAAGAAAGTCAAGTGAATCGAACCTGTACTTTCCACTGACCTCTTGCATCACTGCAGAAACAGAGCTCAATGACATCATAACAGATCTGGAGGTTATTTTACTCTAAATATTTACAGTATTTAGATTGTCTGTTGTCTTTCTATTGCCATTTTAATATGTACATGTTTGCTGAGTGTGCATAGAGTACTATCTCTGGTGTAAATGAATATTCTGACCCAATAATGGTTTTTAACCAGGTAGCAGAAGTATGTCTACCAGACAGAGATTATATTTCTATTTTGATATATGTGTTGGGATTTTTTTGAATCAGTCTTTAGAATTTATGAGGTAGATAATAATCAGCTGTCAATATTAACCACATATTCAGTTATTTTACAACTGTCATTATAGATAAAATCTATTATGAATTTATTATTATTTAACAGGTAGATGCATATATTAAGCATTGGGGTTTCAATTTTCCTAAAAGTTCTTACTTTTTCAAGTTATGTATTTTTATACTTAACATCATACTGGAAAGGCAGGAGAATTTATTGTGTATAGTACTCAAGATGAAGATTTTGTAAAGAATTATTTTATTTTTGCTTTACAGAATTACTTTAAGTTCACTTAGTAATTTACTAGCTGGCAGAGTTTGTGTCTACACAAACAAGCCCAAGTTCAGCTGTCAGTGGCACAAGTCTAGAAACTCTGAAGGTTGTATCTTTGGTTTTTATGCCTGAACTAACATACGTTGATTTAGTCTTTTATGGATGATAAAAACTTCTCTGTGTTCAGTAGTAACCAAACTATTTTATTCCAGGGTGTAATAATCTCTGATTCAAGAGCATAGATTTGTGCTGACGGCTCTATAACTTGAGCTATAAATGCAGCTGAGTATCTGAGAACATGTGCAGCAAGCTCATATCTGTTTCCAAAAGACACCCTGAGCAGCAGGGTTTGTTGATGAAGCATATGCCTATACATTTACACAGCTGGATTTTGTATCCTCTTAGTGTATAATTTGTAAAATGTTAAAGGAGGAAGAAATCCTATATCACTGCCTTTCTTGATATAAAAAAATACTGTCAAGGAACATGAAAGAGGAAAGCAGAAGTTTTACTGTTTCAGACATGAATACACTATGTAATACAAGTGGGTGAGAGTGTCAGATAAAATCACAATGATTATAGAAAGGTATCTCAATTGAGTGACCCTGGCCTAATTTCTTGTTAACCTGGAAAAGTGAAGGCTCTGGGGAGGCTTTATGGCACCTCCCAGTACCTAAATGGGACCTTACAAGAAGCCGGGAGAGAGAATTTTTAAGAGGGCATGTAATGATATAACAAGGAGGAATGGCCTTAAGATGAAGGAGGGTAGATTTAGATTAGGTAGATATTAAAAGGAAATTCTTTTCTGTAAGGGTGGAAAAATTTGGATTTTTTCCACTGTAAGGGTGGAAATAATTGGAAATTACACTGGAAAAAATTGCCTAAAGAAGTTGTGGATGCCACTAGAAGTGCTGAAGGCCATGTTGGATGAGGCTTTGAGGAGCCTGGTCTAGTGGGGCAGGGAGGGTGGAACTAGGTGATCTCTAAGGTCCTTTTCAACCCTAATGACTTTTTGATTCTATGAGTAATAAATATGTCTGGAATTCAAAGCAACACCATGTTTGCTATGTGGATCCCAAATAATAATGTCAGAAGGGAAATATCTTGTTATGAATGGTGAGAAGAGAGAGAATTTTCATGGAGAAATGGTGGCAAAAGCAAAGTTGCAGAAAAAAGGAAAGTAGGAAATAGAATGGACAGAAGAGCGTCTGAAGCTGAAGTTCTTACTTTGTGCTGTGAAGGAGAATGCCCATTTGTTGTTGAATAGTAGCAGGCATACTGTGAAACTGTCAGTACTGCTGTTTGGGAAATAACAAAGCTGCTCTTCACCTTATTTAGGAAGTTGGTTTGATTTTTAAACCTTAGATAGGTCTAGCCAGATATAAAGCAAGGAATCTTTACTAAGAAGAATAGCAGTGGAACTAATAAATGGAAACATAAGAAAGACCAGGGAAGATGGTCTGTGCTCAGTAAACATGTAAATATTCCATGCATCTGTGTTACTCATAGTCTTGAACTTCTGCATCATGGCCAGATTTCATCATATTTTCTTAGCACTGAAGAGCTTTGATTAGCATTGAAAAATTCTAGAACAGAACAGCAGGAGTCCTCATGGAGTTGGGTATTTCTACCTTACAGCTCACTATCTGCACCACGTTTGGGTTTTGGAGTTTGTTTTTTATTTGTGCTCTTTCAGTTGATGTAGGAGATGATTTATTGTTGCCTTTTTTTTTTTTTTCTTTTTCTTCTTAGGACTGTATGATGGTGGGTCTACATACATGTGGAGATCTTGCTGCAAATACACTACGAATTTTTACTGCCAAGCCTGAAATCAAAGCTGTTTGCAGTGTGGGCTGCTGCTACCATCTGTTGTCGGAACAGTTTGAAAACCAAGAAGGTAATTCTGAGCTTAACTTGTGGCTGCCAGTTTGCAAGTTAAGAGTATCATATCTTTTAATTAATAACCTCCTTATGTTTGTTCCTTTCCAGTGGCTTATTTAATACTTTTCTTATTTACTTTATGAGGATCATTCACTCCCAGATGAATTGTTGCTCTTCCGTTATGCTAATGTTCCTAATATTTCTACTGAGATTAGGGATGTAAGTGCATAGTGTTTTTTATGTGGTTATAACTACAGCTGGTTTTATTTCACTAACTCACTTTGAAAAGTATAGACTCTTTTAGTCCAGTATGTTTCCATCCTTTTGAAATATTTTGTAACAGATTTTGTCCTCAGCTGTCTGCATGCAACATCCAATTATGTTAAGCTATGCATATAAAACAATGAGCAGAATTAAGATTTTGTAATGTAAGGTAATACTCAAAAAAACAGTTATCTGGGTGCTGTGCCAGTCTTTGCCCATCATGGAACAGTACATATGTGAGTTTTTCTTGGGAAGATAACATGAAAATTATTTGAGGATTCAGAATATAGGCAAATTTTCCTACAAATGGGAGGCAGGGAATTTTGGTTTTGAGAGAAATTTGGTATTTTTACTTGAAATTGTGTATATGAAAAAAATTTAAGGAACTGGCTTTCCTGAGACAAATGGTACATAGCTGAGGTGTCTAATGACATGCTGACCTGATCATGCTGCATGCTACAACCTGATTATCATATTAGTCAGTCTGAGAAAGGGGTGGCTTGGCAAGGTTTACTTCAGTTATTTCAGGGAGCTTCACAGACACAAATGCATGTGGGACCCTGGTATTGCTCTTTAAGAGTTAGCTGCTTAAGTAGTCACGGCAGAGCTCCACACTAACCATGACACATGTTAGCTCTTCTTGCTTTAATAATCTTTTCATGTTGTTTTTAATTAACTCTGCAACTGTTTTAAGAGTTTTTTTCAGTGTATTAGTCATAAGAATTTCAAAATTCATCAGCTCACTCCAAAAGCAAAGGAAAATACAATTGAAATTTCTGTGCTACAGAAATGCATTTGGAGAAAAAATATACAATTACTTTTACATCAGAGTTTTAAGAAATTAAAAACTTTTCAGGTACTTCTCATTAAGTCTGAGTTGTTGTTTCTTATCATTGCAAAGAGGACATGGCTTCCTGTGCTAGCTGTATAGGATTACTTCTTGCAGAGCAGTGCCTAAACTCAGACACCCCCAAAGGATCGGGCATGATAACCTTTTCAAAATTCAAACACACAGATATCTGTGCATGGTTAGAAGAGATACTACAGTTTCAGAGCAGTATGGAAATTAAGTCAAATTGTGTGTTGGATTGATTTTACTCTGCTTGAAGGACAAAATTATTCTCAGAGGAGAACATTTGGATAGAACAAAAGGAAATTACAGTATACTTTTTTTGGGAAAGAATATATATATTGTCCTAGTAATGCTCAAAATAATAATTTTTTTTACTATTACTATGAGAGTGCATATTCTAAAATGTATAATGCTGTTCCATTCCCCTACTAAGTCATCTACCATATGGCTTTTTCTTAAATGTGCAGTGAAGGGCTAAGAGAACAAGAACTGACAATATCCGAGTTAAGATTTCTTCAAATGGAAAATGGGAAAGAATTCAGACTGTATCTTGTGTCTGCATTTCCTGTGCACGCACTTCAAACTGGCAAAGCATTCTGGAGGATGCTAGGGGACTCTGTTGCTTATCAGATGGTATCGGTCCAACAATTCAAGCGGTAAGCGAACTCCTCTTGCAGCTGTTGGAAGCAAGTGGATTTTAATACTGCTTCCAGAATGGACCAAATCATAGCATTTAAGTAGTAAGTAACTTCTGAAGGTCATCTAGACCAGATCATGGCACAAAGCAGGGCCAACTTAGATAATTTCAGTCAGGGTCTTGTCCATTCATGTTTTGAATATCTCCAAGGACAGTGATTCGGAAGCCCATTTCAATGTTTACTCTCACCATGGATTTCTTTCCTTCACGTCCATTCAGAGTTTGTGCATTGCTATTGTGCATTGTCTATTGGCTTTTTTATTTTGCACTGCACTGCCAAGAATAGTCCAGCTTAATCCTTTTTGTTGTCTTTCCTTTAGGAAAACAGCAGTTAGATCCCTTCTTTACTTTCTCTGTAGCCCTCCTGCCACCAATAAATTCATTTCAGTCATTATGGTGGGCTGAAGAGCCCAAAGAAGCACTGCAGATACTCTCACAAGTGCAAAAAAGAGAGAATAATCACATCCCTTAATCTGCAGGTTTAGCTGTCAAGTTTCAGATGACTGTCAATTTTCTACCTATTTTAGAATGTACCTGTCTGAGTCATATCTTTCCATTTTGTCTATAAAGATACTAAGGAAACCTTGCTGAAAGACTTCATAAAATCAAGATTAACTATGACTCTGCTGTCCCTTAGTTCACAGAGCCAGTCACTGCCTTACAGAAGGCAGTAATTTGTCAGTGTCTGCTGAATTCCTACCAGCTATTGTCAACCTTCTTCTTATTCTTCGTGGGCCTGGGCATGGTTTCCAGGAAAATGTGCTCCATAAACTTCTTGAGACTATCTGAGCTTATTCATGTGAAGTTGAGTGTGGTTTTCACCTGTTTCCTGTAATCAGGATGGACATGACCTGTCAAAGATGATAAAGAGTATGGTCTTCATGGGGCACCGGTGAGTTATGTGGTCCTGAAATGCATCCCATCTGGCCACATGCAGTTGTGTGTATCTGGTTGGCCTGTGTGGTACTTCAGCCAGTATAATCTCTGCTCTAGATAGTCCTTCGCTGGCCCAGGCTCTGACACTGAACTTAGGAAAGCTACTGGCTACTCTGCTGACATCAATCAGAGATGGCAGAGACACGTAGGTGCTTGGTGTGGAGTGCCGCATCCTCGCCACAAATCCTTGGCCCAAATACCTCAGCCCCAGCTAGCTCTCCGATGGGGCGAGTAGGGCAGCAGGAAGCACCCCCCGCTGGACTCGGCTGGGCTTTGGAGAGTGCTTTGTGGGTTCTGAGGGCACTGCAGATCCTGCTGGCAATGAAGAAGGAGAGACTCCCGTTGGGGGCTAACTCCGAAGTTTATTGTGACCCAGAAGGGCCCAACAGCACATGAACACAGCCACCCAACAAGAGCACCCAAGAGGTGCTTGCAACAAGTTATATATGAGGAAGGAGGGGAACCGACCAGCCAATGGGAAGACATTAGGGAGTGGCTCTTGTGGGGATTGACATATGAGGGAACCAGTGAGGGATAGACAAGGGAGGGGCCCCAGGCCCTCATCCAGTCACCGGGCACCCTGGATAGAAGTTTCTAGAAGTTTCTAGAGGTAGGGGAAGGAACACTGAGTGACGGACAAGGCACCTGGGAGGGGACAGGGGAATGACTAAGCAGTTTTTAGGTGACTGACACATGAGGTAGGGCAGGAAAACTAGGGGCAAACCAAAAGGAATATGGGGGTACATTGGAACAAACCATTACAGAATGAAAGTGTAGTAAAACATATGAAAACGCAACTCCACAGGGGAGAGACTAGTTTGAATATTAGGAGGCAGGTTTAGAGCTGCATCTCTGCAATGACAGATCTTCTGAAGAAACAAAGAGAATTGGGCAGAATTTCCTGCCACACAGGAATTTACTTACTCAATTGAAATCAGTCCAGTAAGCAAGGGCTTGCCTGTGAGGACACAGTGGGAAGTTTTGTTATAAAGCATTGACTGAGCAGCCTCAAAGTTTTTCAAAATCTGTTTTTAAAATATCATTCGTCCTCTTTAAAAGCTTTTTTATTCTCTTGAGCTGTGCACTCTTATAGTCAGGGTTGTGGCAAGTCCACCTCAAAGCTCTTGCCCCCAGAGTTGCATATTTTCCATCTTTGCTGTTTCTTTAATGTAAACTCAGAGGGTTGTTCTCATAAGCACAGATGAAGCAGAGGAGCCAACTCACAGAGGAGCTGCAATGGACTTCTGGTTGCCATAATTTGGTATGGCTGGACAGTATGTTCTTTGGCACTTAAGATTTAATACCAAGATCAGTCTTGTTTGAGGCCAGTGAAAAATTACTTTTTCACTTCATATTAACTGGAATTAACTGGTATTCATAGGAATAAAATTTACCTGTTATGATGCCTAACATAGTGTTTATAAGTCTGGGGTGTTGAGTTGACAAAATATCAACAAAATGTTACTATGGTGTTTTTGTTGGACTACTGAATTACCTTGGTTATCACAAGTTTGGGATTTTTTTTTCTGATATGACTTCAGTGAATAATGCATTACATTTCTCACATACTGTAAAAATAGTACAGCTATTGCAAGATTGGCTGATTCAGTTTGCTGTTGGACCTGCTGTGAATACTTAGTGAGCATTTCTGAGGAAAGTAGGTGCCAGCAGTCACAATTTTGAAAAATAATACAATCAGTATACAGTGTCCTTCTATGTGTCTCTAAATAAGCTGAATTAATCTGGAAATTTTTGTAATGGGACCGCATTTCCAATTATGCTGGGAATAATTTTAAACTGTTATGATAATGAAAGCCTTTGCTTTGATTTATTAGTAGCTAAAACAACCAAGAATTGCTGTGTAACATCAAATTTCAACTCAGTTTTAAAAAGTTGAAGCCAATGTCTTTTAACACCTGTCTTTAAATTTCACTGCTGTTATAAGCAGTATGAAATTCTAAGATTCATTTAATAAGAAATAGTATGACAGCTCTTGGAAAATTATAAGTAGTTTTACTTTGGCTCTCTCTAAGGAGAATTGTCTGTTTATGTAGAGATTTTTGTATGGATAAAATATATACATATATATATAGCCATTAGTATAATTGATTCCTTTGGGGGTTTTCTTCTCTATTTCTGCATTGGGTAGTCAATTACGTCAGAGTAGAAGGGATTTTATTATTTATCAGAAACATTTCACATAAACCTATTTACACAGTGAGCCAGTATGTCAGTTTTTCTGGGGAAAAAAACACTTTACTAATGA